AAAAAAAAAAAAAAAAAAAAAAAAAAAAAAAAAAAAAAAAAAAAAAAAAAAAAAAACGCGACCCACTGAGAAGATCCGGCGAGAAACTCAGTGGGCTGTGTCTGAGGGTTAATTTACTCGTCGAGCCCTTCGTTGCAAGCGACGGATTCGACAAGAACGGTGACCGGTACTTGAGGTACCTAAAAGCACCGTTAGTGGATCGGGAGGATTCGAAATGACGTGTTTGGGACGACATCGACTGCTTTTCATTATTTCCGCAGGATCGGGAATGGATCGGGTCAAGAGGCATCGGTACCTACCACACATTGACTTCGTATTTAAGTTTCCCGTAAGAGTTAGGCCTGATTGGGTACTAAACTCTTTTTTTTTGCTATGCAATAATAATTTCTGCTATTATGCTTTCCGCACCATAATCGTCCATGCTTATGATCCCTATCAGTTTCCGAAAGTGCTTATCTTCTCCGCCAGTGAATATTCAAAGATAAAACAATATTCCTAAGTTTTCAAACCTCTTTCTTGTCCGCGTTGCAAATGTAAACATAAAGTAAAAGGTAAAACTAGTTTTGAATGAAGCAACAGTATCGAAATGAATCAAAATGGTGACGTAATGTTGGCGGCAAAATTCGGTCATGGTCACATAGTGAGTGAAAATATTGTGATGTTAAATTAATATTATTGTTAATTTCACATAGTTACGACAAGCATCGGTGGTTCAGTGGTAGAATGCTCGCCTGCCACGCGGGCGGCCCGGGTTCGATTCCCGGCCGATGCAATCTTTTTGCTTTCATATTATAATAACAAAACACTCCCATACTAGTAAACCGCTATTAAATCTTTGTTTTTTGTTATTATACCTTTTTATTCAACAAAACAAGGTCAAAATAGTTTTTAGAGCAGATAATTATACAATTACGAGACATTATGGGATACTAGTTAAAAACGTATTGGTTTGGTCATTTTAATCTATTGTATTGTGATTAATATACAGTTATTTGACCGTCGGGTGTAAGAGTGCAGGGGAGTCGTTTAGTGGGTGGGCCCTAAAATCCTTGGGCCCGCGATCTGCTCTCAACACCTGCAGATCGTTGAGTCTCACATACTCCGCGCGCCCCCTAGGCGCGGGGACCTCGTAGGAGGTTCGGCCCCCGGCCCGAGAAAAAAAAAAAAAAAAAAAAAAGGAATACACCGTCTGGTCTTCATTCTTTTCGACCGTGTTTGAACCTCACTGACGAAACAATGCAACATACAATACAACCTAGAACTATCCACATTGCACTGGACTGGTAGGACGTGTTGTGAGTCCGCACAGGTAGGTACCACCACCCCGCCTATTTTTGCCGTGAAGCAGTAATGCGTTTCGGTTTGAATTGAAGTGTGGGGCAGCCGTTGTAACTACACTGAGACCTTACAACTCATATCACAATTGGGTGGCGACATTTACGTTGTAGATGTCTATGGGCTCCACTGACCACTTAACACCAGGTGGGCTGTGAGCACGTCCACCCATCTATGCAATAAAAAATCAAATATAAATAAAAAACTTATTAATAACCGTATTGATCCTTTAAACCACAGACAGACTAACAAACTATCGATTTAATATGTAATTCACAAAAAATATTATAAGCGGGTTTTTTTGGTGATATTGAAATGATTTCCTTCGCTGACGGATGCTGCCGAGGTCGGCCACTTATATCGAACACACCAGCGCAGAGCCAAAAGATCTCAAGATTATTTATTGGCTTTTATATTTGAATCATGTATTTTAAGCGAATTGATGGAATTTGCACTACGCTTCGGCAGAGACAGCTAGCCAAGTAGCCACCTCCAGAACACCTCTTAAATTTTTGATCTCGAACAATTTGAGTACTTGACATAGATAGGAACATCAGCTTGTGCTTTTTTTAACTAAAAGCTCACGGTTAAAGTTCCTGTTCTGAGTTTCTTTGGGAAGTCTCTGATACTCTATTACTCTAAAAAGTATATTCAAATGCCCCAAGTGGTCTTAATACAATAGCAAAGTGCTTTATTGGTAGAAACATTATAAAGACTGAGACAAGAATTCAGATACACAGTTCAATGGATACAAGTTCTTACACTATCCCCAGCGAAGATCCCACTCACTAAGAGCTCCAAATTCATACTTATAATAATAATAATGAAGCCTTTTATTTCCCATTACCTAAGTATTACAAAAGTCGTTGTGGCCTAACGGATAAGACGTCCGGTGCATTCGTATGTAGCGATGCACCGGTGTTCGAATCCCGCAGGCGGGTACCAATTTTTCTAATGAAATACGTACTCAACAAATGTTCACGATTGACTTCCACGGTGAAGGAATAACATCGTGTAATAAAAATCAAACCCGCAAAATTATAATTTGCGTAATCACTGGTGGTAGGACCTCTTGGGANTAATGAAATACGTACTCAACAAATGTTCACGATTGACTTCCACGGTGAAGGAATAACATCGTGTAATAAAAATCAAACCCGCAAAATTATAATTTGCGTAATCACTGGTGGTAGGACCTCTTGGGAGTCCGCACGGGTAGGTACCACCACCCCGCCTATTTCCGCCGTGAAGCAGTAATGCGTTTCGGTTCGAAGGGTGCGGTAGCCGTTGTAATTATACCTGAGATTTTAGAACTTATATCTCGAGGTGGGTGGCGCATTTACGTTGTAGATGTCTATGGGCTCCAGTAACCACTTAACACCAGGTGGGCTGTGAGCTCGTCCATCCATCTAAGCAATAAAAAAAAAAAAATCTTAAATATATGATTTTTTGATAATTTTGACATTTTGATCTATTTTCAATTTTACACTTTTTATATTATATTTTTTCTTTATTGTTGTTTGTTTGATTTGCCTACATCAAACTTTTTCTTCAATAGGAACTCCTATTTGGGAATAGGCCTCCTCCAGTTTAATCCAATTTTCTTTGTCCTTGGTTCGTTTAATCCTTTCTTTTCTAGCGGTGACTATGAATCATCTCTCCATCGTGTCATAGGTCGTCCTTTCCTTCTTTTCCCACTAGGCCCTTTCCATTTTGTCTCTTCAATTGTCCATCGTTTGTGGAAATTCATAGTTATCTACTCATTATCCATCCGCACAGCGTGGTGACACTAATCGAGCCCAGATTTCGAGATAAAGCGATCGACTGGGATTTTGTACCGATTACCAAACTGACCTCAGTGTTTCCCGACGCGAGAGACCGCCGGAAATATTAATGTCGGAAGGACATATTTGTTTCATAACAAACGGAATTTCTGGATTTAAATTGCGAATTATAAAAAAATAATTCATTTTTGTTAGTAGTTGGACGGTCAATTTAGCACACGACAGCGTAGTAGCGCTGGATAACATTACTGCAAGTACTATCCGCGCGTCTCCTTCGTAGGCGCTCGGGCAGCTGTTAGCAAATCCCACCCCTTCTGGCTTTGCTCGCCCACCTGTCCTGGTGAAACTGGAAAGGCCTCCGGGCCACCAGTAATCCTCCATACCTAAAAATACATAAAAATAATACTACCCGCACCGAGCGGTGTAGTCAAATATTAAAATCGTATATCACAGCCGCGATCGCGTCTCCAATCTATGTAAGAATTCCAAAAATTTTATTCGAATCGAATTTATTTTCTTACACAATGTTATTAAAAAGGTTTTTTTTTTGAGTGGACGAGCTCACTGCCCAACTTGTGTTAAGCGGTTACCGAAGCCGCCCACCTTGATACATCTAATCTCAGTACAGTAGCTGCTCGGCCCCTCAAGCCGAAGCGCCTTATTGCTTCACGGTAGAAATAAGCAGGGTGGTAGTACCTACCCGTGCGGACTCACAAGGCCTTTTAACATCAGAACTGGTGTATTAATTGTGAGCATTAAAGAATACAAACAAACATGCGAACAAGTTCTGCTTACGATTTTATAACATTTATAGAAGACATCGTGTCGGATCGTTATTGCCGTATCGTTATCGGTATATATAAATAGCTAACCCGTAGCAAGGTCTGCAATTGCTGAAACATTTGTAAGTTGCACAGTGCACCTACACTCTCAGTTGCACAACAGAGGGCGCGCGGAACACTCGCCTTCAATGTTCATAGTTCTTTAATTAATTAACTTACGTTTGCAAATGTTGTGATAGTTTCTTTGTGAATCATTAAAAATATGTTTGTTGGTAAGTACTTTTATGTAATTAATTTAGTAAATTTATGAAACATTCAATTAAAAGTAAATGTTAAATAAAAACTTATAAATCATATTGTAGTTATTTATTGTTAGACACTAAAGTTGAGACACTGAATGACTTGATCTGGGTTTCACATTTGGTGGACCCAGAACTGGTCTACTTCATGGGAGAATATAAAGCAATAAAAACAGATTGGACGCAGATCTAGTAACATTCACCAGAGCAGTTTTGAACCAGGAATAAGCCTCCATCCCATAATAGCCATACATCATTTACTGGTGGTAGGACCTTTTGTGAGTCCGCACGGGTAGGTACCACCACTCTGCCTATTTCTGCCGTGAAGCCTTAGAACTCATATCTCAAGGTGGGTGGCGGCATTTACGTTGTAGATGTCTATGGGCTCCGGTAACCACTTAACACCAGGTGGGCTATGAGCTCGTCCACCCAACTATGCTATGTGGAATAGGTTCAACGAATAAATTTGTTTAGCTTTAAACTATTTCAACCGATCAGACGATCACCCGCCTTAGGAATTGGTGATAAGAAGATGAGATCCTACTATAAGAGATGGAACCCCTTAAAATCACCAGCGGCTTGGGGGTGGATTCATATAACGATATTGTTAAACGAATTGAATCTAAAAGCTAAAATAATAACAAGCATCAAAATACGGCACCTCTTAGACCTATACTAACACGAGGTATGTGTAGTTTACTTCAAAAGGTTTCATTGCAATAAAATATTGCGAAAATCTTTCGCCCACGATAACTATTAAGTTAATGTGATTTATAAATATAACACAACAATACGTTGGTCGTTAAAGATGAACGAACTTGTGACAAGCGCATGTGCTTTTCGGGCTTATTAATGAACAACAGCATGTTGGCTTCGACTACGCTACGACTACGACTACGACTAACAGACTAACTGACTACGACTACAAAGAAGTAACGCACAATTCTTCCTTATGAAACAATGCATAAGACAAACTACGACATAAATACATATATACAAGACGTGATGCCGTTTTTTGTTAACGCAATTTTTATTGGTAAGATACTCTTCATTTTACTAGACGGGTGGGTGTGTTACCAACCCTTCTGGAGTTAAGTGATAACAAAAATTCTGAAGTCATCTTCTGTCTTTTGTTGTTAATAAATACTCTAAATAAAGTAGATACAACATTTGCTCCGCCACTGCTCTCTATCAAGCGAACTCTTATCTAACTATTTGCACTATTAAATTACGCTGTGATGTCTACGGGCTTATGTCTATCGTGGAAAATTTAAAATAGATTGCTGTTTGTTGTATTTTAATCGTAGTAGCATTTATCAAAGGTGTTAAGACTCATAACTGGGTGTATGAATATACAGTTTGAATGCCCTGGCTCCTTGCCTGAGAAACCATAGAACCTGACCTGCTATAAGTAAAATTGAACACCCAGCAATGTAATGTGAATTGTGCAATTACACAACATGCTGAGGCGTCAGTTGGCGAGTCATTTCGTAAGGGCCCAACCTCGCCATTAGTTTAAGAGGTCGTTAATTTTGTTGTTTCGACATTACAAAGAAGTTTTATTTCACTTGGTTACTATTTAGGCAACCTTACCCTGACTACTCGGGGTCGGAGCCACACATGTCTTCTCTAAGCCCTCTATGATGTCGTAAACCATTACATGTCACCTCCATAAATCATTTTTCATACAAACAATTCATCTCTCTCTCGTTGCCAAATATATCCTTGCGTCCAGAAACATTCAAACTTGAGATTGCCGACAATTTTATCATTGGAACAGGGATTTATCCTATTTTGAAAAATATAAATTTTCTGTGAAAGCTTCCAAACTAATTTATAAAATATAATGGAAACGGTTTTTCCTCTCTCTTTTTTTGAAGTAATTTCAGTCAATTTGATGTTTTGATAAAATTAAAATAGAATATTAAATAGATTAATGTAACAGTTTACAGCGTGTACGACATGTGTTGGCTTATTGACAGCATTCATAGACAATTTATGAAAAGATAATCGCATATCTACTTAGGGACCAAAATAAACAGCATTTTCAACACAAGCCAACTACTGCTCACCGTTACGCACATAGTTATTGATAAGTAATGCTAATTTTCATTTTGAATGGATAGTGTGACATCAGGAAGTGGTCCCACTCTTCTGATTATTTAACCAGATAAGATATCAAAACAACTGGATGAAGACGTCTCGATCGTCGAGGCAGTAGTCGTCTAGACACGCGTTGCGTTCAGCGCAAGCGTTGAATCACCCATTGTCTTCTAACATAAGTTTAATGTTTACTAACTTTGTCACCGAACGGTTATAATTAATTATAGAAGGTTGCGAATTATGCTGTCAAAGTTACGATCAAATATGTTTTAATAATGTTCTTTGACGAAGAAGCAGTCCGCGGTTGATTGTAAATAGCCAGCTCGGTTGCTGTAAGCTAAAAAAAGGCGTTAGAAATTACCTACAAGATCGATAAATTTTCAGTTCTACGAATTTTCTTTTCACCCAATATTTGAGTTACAGATTTGTTTAGCAAGGTTATAATCGAAGAGAAATATTTTGTTTTGTAAGTAAGAGTATGTGAGATAAATAAGTATTTTTTATTCTTTTGTTTTCACATTATTATTTTCTCTGGTGTAGTTTAATATTCGTTTTATTAGCTTATCGTAACGACAAGGCTCTTTACTCTAAAAAAATCTAGCTCCCACCATTAATGAACAAAATTCATTTTCTAACTGTTTATTCGAAGACTACAAACACTTTAACTGTTGAAACCTACAGTACGTATAAGAACTTAAATGGCAACCGCCTACACAATTGTGAAAACTTGGAAAAACCTTACGTGTTGCAAGGACTTTACAATATCAGATTATTAATTATAATTAACGATCTTCGAGCGTGTAATTGGGCACGGAATGGCTACTTATTATTTATACCTTTATTAGTGTAACTGAGCAGATGATTTCGAGCCTTTTAGTGAGCACTGAATGCTCATAAACGACTTTGTTGAAAGAAAATATACTTAAAATAAATAGTTATAACGCATATTGCATGCTGGCAAAATGGATCATAAGTGATGAATGAGTCTGACCAATAATTCCTATTTTGTATTTGGAACTGTAATTGGTAGTATATATTTTCAATTTGCATTCAATATATTCAATACAGATAATTGAGAAGCAGGGGTGTAGTTTAAATATTTAATAAAGTTTAGTATTATCAACATTATTGTTTTTTTTTTATATTTCAGTACTATGGTTACTGCTGGTAGCGGCAGTGAGTGGTGAGAAATTCCGGTTCCCCGATGAGCAGTCTTCAGCGTCTTTGCGTATAGACACAAAAGTTAAATTCATTGACAGCCGCGGTGACGATGTCAGGTGAGTACCGGTTTTTTTATTGCCTTTGAAGGCGGCTGAGCAAACGACCCAATTGTAAGCGAGTGCACGTGGATGTTCATGGACAACAGCAGTGGTAGAGATACAACAGTCTGGTTTGGACACTCCTAACTTTTTTTTAGATAGGATGATTTGCTTAGATGGGTAGACGAGCTCACGGCCCACCTGATTTTAAGTCCAGTGCCACCAGTAATTACACAAATTATAATTTTGCGGGTTTGATTTTTATTACACAATGTTATTCTTTCATCGTGGAAGTCAATCGTGAACATTTGTTAAGTACGTATTTAATTGGAAAAATTGATACCCGCCTGCGGGATTCGAACACCGATGCATCGCTAGATACGAATGCATTGGACATCTTATCTTTTAAACCACGAGGACTTCAAACTAAAGTATAATTAAAATTTTGTTTGGCAACAATATACACTTGGTACTGTCCATATACTGGTAACGATTTCATACCGGTTGGATCGAGAGAGCCCCTCTACATAACTAAGAAATAATCGACTGGCCCGATTAGTGGGACAGGCTACTTGTACTGGAAATCATTAACCGGATACAGGCGAAGACGCGGTTCAAAGCTCCTTTTGAACGACAAGGTAGCGCCCGAATTGGGCACATTGTCAAAAAGTGGGCTTTAATGGAGCTTTTACCTTGACGGCCAATGTCAGGTGCCAATGACGTCAGGATCTCGTTCTTTTGCAATATTTTGGTTGTAAACGAACATGGATATTAATATTATGCAGAATGTCTTTATGCTATTAACAGATCACCGTGTAAGATAGGGCCGTGTGTTTCAAGCCAAGCACGTATTTGTTCTATTGTTTCTGAATATATTATTTTATCTCAAGGCAATGTTGATTATTAGCTTAGATATGAAAATATGTAAGCTAATAAGTCGAGAGGAGTCCATAGACGCCAAAATTTGAACACCACCTTCGATCTTGAGAAATTAGGTTGCAATTACGATACGGCGGGAGAGACATTACTTCAAGAATACTGGAATACGGAATGAAACCTCCGGATTGTCGGTGATCAAGTTTTGGTTTGTACGAAAAGGTCAGAGATTATATTCTACAGCTACCTGATAAATAAACGCAATACTTGTGAATTTCGTAATAGAAATATATAGTATTGAAACCACATGCTTCTCCAAATCTTCTTGAAATCAAGGGTCAAGGCACAGGCTGAAAAGTCTCTTGGATATCTCCATCGATACTGGTTCTCTTACGAGTGTAACATCTACTCTGTACCAATACAGAGTACCTAATGGATTCTTATAAATGCATACTGTGAAGACCTACGAAACGTTTCATGATTATTGTTAGGGTGACCACACACCCTATTTCTCTGATCTAGTCCGTTCCACTGACTTCGTCCTTCGCCGTTCACCACGCATTGTTTCCGATACAATACCATTAAACGGTCACCGTCTTGACACTAGAATGGAGTTGCGTCAGCGCACGGTTGGCTGGTTAGTAATTATGTGGGTCTTGAAATTGATCTAGGTTATTTCCATTAATAAAAAGGGAAGTTAGAATGAATGTATTTTTGTTAGCTTACGCAAATGAACAAGGAATATAACCAGATCTGTAAAAGAATCACAAGGTGTGACCTTACTCTAGACCTGATTTACCTGGCTTAGATGGGGTCTTTCCATTGTAATTAGGTTAGAATTCGTCGCTGCCAGCTCTAGCTCTACAAGATCCAAGCAATATTAAATATCGCTACCCGATCTCTTTCCGTGGACGTCGTAAACAACGACTAAGGGATTCTGGAGAATGAGCAGCAACGGTCTCTGAGTACTCTCGCAGCGTACATTATTCACCGCCATTTATTGGTGGTAGCGCATGTTTATGTTATACGAGGCAACTGAGGTTTCGGCCTCAGATCTCAAAGTGGGCGACGGCGTTTACTTGATGTCCATGGGCTCTGGCAGTCACTGTACACAAGGTTGGCCATGGGCTCATCTCGTGTAAAGATGCAACGACCCATGAGAAGGATATCACCGAACCTTAGCGAGGCAATCGTTTATAATGAGGGAGTCTCAAAATGAAGATCACGAGCACAGAAGTACGCAGTAAATAACAAAACAAATGATAAGTATTTACTAAATTACAAAACGCACGCCACAAGGTATAATGATTAAATTGTCGTTTTTAACAGTTGAATGATTCAGAGAATTATAAGAAAAAACAACACTCAATTTTTTGTTGTTAAATCATTAAGACGCTAAAAGATTAATGTCCTTCATTTTTCCTCGGTCTAGATGAATAGTTCTTTACATTAAGCTTCTCGGGATAGACGATGTTATCAGAACACGAGGTCTTATTGATTCGAATAGTGGGAATATTAAACTTTAAGATGGAGCAAGAATGGACAGGGTGGTGATAACAGAAAGAAGTGGCGTTACAATAACCAATAGCACCTAATACATATTATTTCTATTTAATGAATCTTGTTTTCTTTAACAAAAACAGTATGATATTCAAAATTGAAAAAAAAAATTAAATAGATATGGTAGTATCGGTTGAAATCTGGTTTCACACAATAAAGTTAGCGTAAAAAATGGAGATTTAGATTCTTAATCAGAGTTTCAGTTGCCTCTTTGCTGCTCTGTTCAAGGAGTTTTGAAAGACCAATTTTTATGAGTCAAACCTCCTACGAGTTCGCCGCGCCTAGGGAGCGCGCGGGTTATTTGGGATGGACGGTCCGCAGATACTTTTGAGAGACCTATACTATGTATAATATTTATAATTACTATGTATCCGTCGGCACCCACGTTTCGTCTTAAACACGGAGCCCAGATAAGTTACAACAGCCGCTGCTGTATTTCTAATGTAGTAACAGTGTTGAGACATGTCTTGACCAACGTCAGTGTATCGATTTGTTACGTGTAACTCTAAAGAAACAGTTACAACACGTCCGCGGTCGCTGTTCGTTCGTGTTGGAGCCGGAGAAGTGAGAGGAGGAAGTTCAGCTGAAACAAAACTCCTTCAAGAATAACTAATTTTCAGAAAAAATATCTACGCGAGATCGATATGGGCGAGCAGTAGAACTTTTTGACCGAGAAGGTCAAAACCTATCTTCCAGCTTTATTACTATACAAATGAGAGTGTACATCTGTCTCTCAGGATGGGTTAAAGCATTCACTTCGATATATCTAAGGACTCTGAGAAGCCTTCAACACTTGGTCAATCATGAATTCGTGCAGTATCCACTGGAAATAAAAAAAAAACTGTCCTGTTCGAAATTATAATTAATATTGGAGTATTTATTGTGTCACGGTTGGCAGAACTGAATAGAAGGATCAATTGAAAAGATCAAAATAGAGATCAAAAAAGAGAATATCCTGGTAAGTGGATTGGACGCCTTGGCACAATTTTGTTGTCTTCTCGAAATCCCGATCTAAATCCATTGAACTTCTTTTATTGGGGCTGCATAAAAGAAAAAGTGTACATGAAGCCAATACGAAATCTAACTGAAATACGCCGTAAAAATGCTGAAACACCAGAAGAAACGAACTCAAGGATTTAGTTATAAACGAATGGTTAAATGATCTTTTCTGAGGCGATACAGAGACTATATTCGTACCGAAGGCAAACAATTTGATCACTTAATTTAGTTTAGGAAAAATAAACATATTACAGTATTTTTATCTGTTTTATTATGAAATTTTTTGTCGAGTTTTTAATGCCCCAAGTGGTTGATAATCTTGATAGTTTCTTTTATTGAAAGAGAAGCAGCAAATTTTGTACCATTTCGAAATAATAATGGACCTTTTTTTTAATAACTTGCCTACGGTAGTACAGTACTATTTTTTTTAAAAAGGTGTCAATGCTATCGAGTAGTACGCTTTTAACCATGAATTAATGAAACTTTTTAATTTTTTAGTAAATTCACCATATTAGTTATTGGATTTGTGACTGCACTCAATAGCATAGTTCTCATGGATTACAATGGAAAAAAAATCTTTCAAACCTTATGAACATGACAGGAAGATACGGGATAAAACAAAGTTTTAATAAGCTTTGAAAATCTGCTCACAAACGCCTCTCATGTTTAATTTCTTTTTTAGTTCTTAAACTATTAGTCACCTTTCTTTAAACACATAGTTAAAACTACAACAATTCTGTCGTTACAGATCCCACCGTGAACCCAAGGTACAAGCAGACGAGATCCCGTTTCGTGAACCAGAAGAAACTGGAGGCTTCTATAACAGGCCCCAGGGAGAGGGGAGGTATCCAGTAAGAGTGGAAGAGCACGCACAGTCTCCATACAGAGTTCAGAGTCAAGCTGTTTTGACTGTTGATGTGTAGGTATCTCAAGCTTGAAGGAATTAGCTATGGTTCTCCCTCTCAGCGTCAGCTCTCTTGAAGGCTCATCATTGGAAGGGAATGATTTTTAGTATCTCACTGGTGTGATGTTACACATTTTTGTCTGTGGTTTATAAACTTCTACGCACGCTAGTCTCAACAGTGACTGAATCAACATACGTGTGGTTTTGTATAATACCCAGATTAGGGTTGTTTCCCTTTTTTTGTTAAAATAAAGTTTATAATTCATGATGGACAAAAGTACGATTATTGTAACTTTAATTTTTGGTTTTCATTACTTTTACCAATTAATAATCACAATACTCCAACACTCTATATACGAGTGTTACAGCACAACTTCTATGGTGAACCAACAGCAAAAATGAAAATGATTTGTGAAAGTCGTCGTGGCCTAACGGATAAGACGTCCGGTGAATTCGTGTTGAGCGATGCATCGGTGTTCGAATCTCAGGCGGGTACCAATTTTTCTAATGAAATACGTACTCAACAAATGTTCACGATTGACTTCCACGGTGAAGGAATAACATCGTGTAATAAAAATGAAACCCGCAAAATTATAATTTGCGTAATTACTGGTGGTAGGACCTCTTGTGAGTCCGCGCGGGTGGGTACCACCGCCCTGCCTATTTCTGCCGTGAAGCAGTAATGCGTTTCGGTTTGAAGGGTGGGGCAGCCGTTGTAACTATGCTTGAGACCTTAGAACTTATATCTCAAGGTGGGTGGCGCATTTACGTTGTGGATGTCTATGGGCTCCAGTAACCACTTAACACCAGGTGGGCTGTGAGCTCGTCTACCCATCTAAGCAATAAAAAAAAAAGGTTGGAAAAACTATCCCAGTATTATTACGAATTTGCAGAAAATTATGTGAAATACATAATTCCACAAAAACTTCAGAGCTGTTTATATAGTTACATTATTTGCTTAATTAAAAAAACTCTCAATAATGATCATCCAAATTTAAATAGGTAACTAAACTGAGTTTTAGCAGATCTTATTTTTGGACTTTGTTAAGAGAGTGATCAAAATCGTTATTGCTATTCATTTTGCTAAATGAATAAATTGCTTAACTACCTACCTACTAGCTTTTAGATGCGACTTCGCTTATAAGAAAAAAAACGTTCAAGAATAGTATTTTTTTCTGAATGTTTTTTTTTTAATTGCTTAGGTGGGTGGACGAGCTCACAGCCCACCTGGTATTAAGTGGTTACTGGAGCCCATAGACATCCACAACGTAAATGCGCCATCCACCTTGAGATATAAGTTCTAAGATCTCAAGTATAGTTACAACGGCTGCCCCACCCTTCAAAACGAAACGCATTACTGCTTCACAGCAGAAATAGGCAGGGTGGTGGTACCCATCCGTGCGGACTCACAAGAGGTCCTACCACCAGTAATTACGCAAATTATAATTTTGCGGGTTTCATTTTTATTACACGATGTTATTCCTTCACCGTGGAAATCAATCGTGAACATTTGTTGATAGGTAACTATATCCTATTTTGGACATCTGACGTCGTGTATGCAAAACTTAAAACGGTCGGCTGAGTTGTTATACGATCATCACCCACGGCTAACCAGCGTGGAATATCGCTTGGTACGTCATAATCTTGAACTATTATACTTTAAATTACAGACCTAAAAACTACGATTCAGATGGAACTCTTGATTCTCTGCAGTACTGCAAGTGTGTTGACACTCCCGACTGCAACCCAAGACCTGACAGTGCGGTAAGTTTTTGGTCTAATTTTCTTGCACTAGCATTTTTTTTTTGGATATTATAGGATACAAAGAGAATGCCATATCAACATATTTTACTTTTATAAACAAACACACTGAGATCATTACAAATATGATAACTCTAGCATTGCACAAAACAGTGTTATAATTCCATGATATTACTGAGCATACACAGGGCTGAATTTAAACTTAATGCCGCTCCTGGGCACCGGAAAAAAATCCGCCCCAACACTGAAATTTTACTTAAACTTATAGTTTATATATTTTCTTCTTCAGCTTTACTAGAAACTGTATTATAATATGTTATATATTCCAAAAACAGAAATAATATGTGTTTTTTTAACAACTATAAATTTTGCACTAAGGCTGACTCATAATTATACATGACAAAAAAAATTAAATTTCTTTAATTCTGGTAAACAAAAAAAACGATTATTATTTTAAATCTCCAAGGAAATAAATTAATTAAATTATTTTGATTATTAATTTTACCCAAATTGACAAAATTATAATTCACAAATAATGAATTCATTGAATTTCTTGAATTGTCAATTAAACAGAAAATTATTAATTATGGAATTAATTAATTGCATAGAGCAATTTTGAAAAGAAAAAATATATTTTACTTTGAAAATTTTGCCGCCCTATAAAATTTGCCGCCCTGGGCGCTTGCCCCGACTACCCCTAGTGTAAATTCACCACTGAACATATCATATATTATTATTAAGCTACTGGTCTTCTATCTGTTTGTTTCAGAGAGCATGTGGCTCTGGAAAGTACCTGTGTTGTTACAAGCGTAAGCAGAGCAACAGAGTAAATTCATATCCGTCAGGTGATTATTAAATACACACATTTTTGTCTTATTTTTTTATCTGGAAAAATTCACCGACAGTGATGTAACAAAACATGCAAACCACATTTTCATATTCATGTCAAGCCTCCAATAAAAAGAGGTAAAGAGGTGTCGGTCTCATCAGCTTGTCCTAATTATTAAGACAAGGGTTCGCTGTCGCCACGGTCTGGTCTTCGAGAAATCAGTTACAAAGAGGCTATGCGGCAGTATATTAAAATGTTTTATTACATCTGAACTAACATTTCAGAATACTTCAACGAAGTGGAAGACGAACGACCCATGCTGTTACCGGGACAACAGAACTTAGCCCGGCCCTTCCCCCCGCCTCCTGCTTCCGAAGCAAACGGAGTTTTTGGCCCAGGACACGCTCATCAAGTCGGTTTACTCGGACCATTTGATAGACCACAAGGCTTCCTGGTCGGATCACAAAACCCAACAGGAAACATTGGAAACTCAGGAGTATTAGTTGGACCGGGTGGTCCTACTGGTTCTATAGGTCCAAAACGAGATCAAAACCAAGGCGTCTTAGTTGGTCCGGACGGACCTACGGGTGTGATTGGACCTGGACACTCTCATCAAGGTGTGCTTGTGGGGCCTGATGGCCCAAGAGATGTAGGTTTCAGCGAATCCGCACAAAGAGGAGTACTCGTTGGTCCAGGTGGACCTACTGGAATCATTGGTCCCGGAAGAAACTACGGAAGAAGACCTGTACTGACTGGACCAGGTGGACCAACAGGCATAATCGGTCCTGGCAGGAACGGAAGACGAGGTGTGTTAGTGGGTCCAGGTGGTCCGACTGGTTACATTGGTCCTGGCTTCGGCCGTCAAGGGAGCCCTGGTGTATTAGTAGGGCCCGGGGGACCCACTGGTACCATCGGCCCAGGACGGTCAATACTGGTGGGTCCTGGTGGGCCTACAGGGCAGATAGGGCCCCAATATTTTAACTAGTTTATTTATGGCTAATACTTATTAATAAATCGATGTAAGAATTACCGAGTTTCCATTTTCTTCTTCTTTGTCGGTATCGCTCTTCACAGAGTGGTCGTGGTCATCACTACAGGTGCTAGTGGCAAGCTTCACAACACGCCATCACTTCTCTCTTTCCATTTTACTTATCTAAATTCACACAATTTACCGTGGAGTATTATTATCTACAATAAAAACTATAGCAAGAGGAGCTTCAGGTGGATATACACCCTGCAGATTTGTCAAAAATTATAAATCCATCGTAATGTCAAACAACAGAAATAACTAAATAAATTTAGTAAAAATATAGAAGAAAGCTCCTTTTACTCCCGGTATTGTGTGCTTTGTAAAAATCGTTGTGATGTTTACCTTAGGTTGGTCTGCATGAATGTAGTTTTAGTCTCGTGTAAATATTATTGTTCTAATCTAATGTAAGCTGAGAGTGCTAACCGCAATAAACTGAGTGTTGTCGATGTTCTGTTTTATTTACGGACAATATTCCTTGAGGCAGCTCTTGTCTAAATGTTAGAATGGGTCGTAGCAACATAAGCATTTTCCTTTGGTATGATAAACAAAATCAGTTGAAGAAGCGTGCCCTTTGCTCCCACGTTGCTAATGGAATCCAAAGACATAACAACGTGAGTGACAGCTCTCATCTTAAGATAAAGGATTTAAGTTTTCATTTTATTGCTGTAACTGATTCTCCACCCTCAACCTAAGATAAGTGATGGGGTTTCTCAATTACGCAGAGCTTGGTGTGTTTGTTGTGATTTTGAAAGGACAAATTGTCATAGAAAAAGTTGATGGACACCTACTATGTGATGGGAGCCTCAACTGGAACTATGGGTATTCTGTCCTACAAACAAGATGCATGATGGTAGGTATTCACGGATATGTTGTGGTACCTAATAATGATACGACGCACCACCATTGAAGTCAGATGATAAATGGTTTCACGCTTCATCCTCGCACTCAATAATACTAATAATATTATTTCAATAATAGATTCAGTGCGATGTTACACTGTAAAACTAGGTTTCATTTATATTCCGCAAATCACAAAAACAAAGAAAATACAGTCAGCAATTATATGCTATTCATATTTTAATCAACGTTTTCAGGATGTTCCAGAAAAACTAAAAGAAGATGTTTTCACCGTAAGATAGCTACTGAAGCTGTGTGTCCAAATAGTCCTGGTTTGTATTCAATGGAGAATTCGTAGACTACGACGGCACTGTACCCTGCTGTCAATTGTTTTTATTCTACATTACTTCAAGAAGGTTCTGTTAGAAATCTTCTACCTCTATAAATAAAATTGAATGTTTGTAGATTTGTCCTATGCGTTGCTTAGCAGCTCATTCGATTGTGATAAAACCTGGTACGGTTATCATTATGACTTTAGGGGAGGTTTCTATCGTGTGCACCGTCAATGTACGACATGTAGTAATCGATACAGTTATGGCATTATCCAATAACTACTAAACTGGTAGAGAAAATAATCTGTTAGGAGTACATACATTGCTGTTACTCCGAATGTGGCAGGTACTAATGTTTACTTTAGCAAATCAGATAATATAATGTGAGATTGACATGTCTAAGCTTTTTTGGAAATAAAGTACATTCCTTCTTGTCTCTGGGAGGTCGTCAGTACATTCATAGCATTCCTAATGGCGATTCAACTCGCCTACCGAGCCGTCAGTGTAACGAAATAAATGAGAAAAAATTCAATGAAAATCGTATGTTTTGATACAGGGCGCCTGAATATGAATAGTTCAATCGAAACGTATGTATAAATAGCTCGGTACCAAGCGACGCGTAGAGCGTAGAGCGCACTTGCTGGAGCCGAGCCAACTGTCCACAGAACGCAGTGCCCATTCCAACTGATTAATGGAAAATCATATAATAACATAATATAACAACAGCTCAGTTAGTAGAAACTCGCCGGGGACCTAATTAGTCTCCGTTTTCCAGAATAGGAGGTAAGATTCCGGACGGTGAAACTCAGACTCTGCGGCAAGTCCAAGGGTGCAGAAGATTGATCGCTCAAATCTCACCAGAGCTGTCAGTGGAACACAACAACGCCGAGCTGACTACTAATCTGAGCCGCAATCCATCATATTTCAAATTTGATTCTTCGTCATATACAGAAATTGGAATTATACTTAAAATAATACACGTACTAATGCGAGCGCAACTCATTCATGACTTGTTAGAAATACAGTGAAAAATAATGCGTATAGGAGTGAAAAAGTTTAACAATATGTTCGTACATAATTGTTCAGTTGCTATTCGTCTATGCAGCAGTATTATCGCTTACGTCATAAATAGACATAATAATATGTATTTAAATAGCGAATTATGTACTGAAATGTTTACATAATTATTATCGTCAGTTATTTTTTACCTCTACCCGATGGCGAGTACAAGCGGTGCTCATGGACGGCAGTCATGTCGAGTCATAGCTGAGCTGCTGGGTTTCATTCACAGTGAAAACAAAATCTGAGTTCTGCGCAAAAAGCTAATTAGAAGCGTGCTCGCATTAAAAATAACCATGGAAATTCATTTATCATTCATTAATGTGACACGCTTCGTAGCTCTGCATACGTCGACTGTTTTTCATATTAATTCGGAAAAGCCAACGTCTCTATCAAGACATTGATGTTAACAGCTTACACATGTATGTATGGGCTCTGGTTTATCTGTGAAGAGTCATTGTCTAGTTAACAACGTGGTGAGCTGGAAACCAAATACACTTAGACCTGAGTTACGTCTGTCAGCATTAATTCGCATTATATGTAACCTGTCAGGTCATAAGTATTGTCACACAGTAAAAACTTTTCTTTTAGAATGCTGGCCACAAAAAAGTTTATTGAATTCGAATTTCGAATTGTTCATGAAAATAAAAAAGTATACTTTTAGAATTTTACTCATTTTTAAATATGGAGTGGACGCTTAAAGAAGACCGTGTTGCAGTTATTGCATAGCATCGTTGCGGTTACGCGCCAATTCAAATTTTTAACATACTGAAAAATTTGAATATAACCAAAAGATTCGTTTATCGTACCATCAAACGATACAATGAAGACTCTAGTGTAGATGACAGGTCAAGAAGTGGTCGCCCTCGGTCTGTTAGGACTCCAGCAGTGATAAAAGCTGTGAAGGCGCGAATTCAAAGAAATCCCAAACGTAAGCAGAAACTGTTGGCCCTTCAGATGGGGTTAAGCAGAACCACGGTGAAAAGGGTGTTAAATGAAGACTTAGGGCTTCGGGCATATCGAAGAAAAACAGGACATCGTTTGAATGCTCGTCTAATGGACCTGAGACTGAAGAGATGCCGCGCTTTGTTGAAGCGGTACGCGGGAAAAAAATATCGGGAAATTCTTTTTTCGGATGAAAAAATTTTTACCGTAGAAGAGAGCTACAACAAACAAAATGATAAGGTGTACGCACACAGTAGTGAAGAAGCGAGCAACCGTATTCCGCGTGTCCAACGAGGTCATTTTCCATCCTCGCTCATGGTATGGTTGGGAGTTTCTTATTGGGGCTTAACAGAGGTACATTTTTGTGAGAAAGGTGTAAAAACGAATGCAGTTGTGTATCAAAATACAGTCCTGACGAACCTTGTGGAACCTGTTTCTCATACCATGTTCAATAACAGGCACTGGGTATTCCAACAAGATTCGGCGCCAGCTCATAGAGCGAAGAGCACACAAGACTGGCTGGCGGCGCGTGAAATCGACTTCATCCGGCACGAAGACTGGCCCTCCTCCAGTCCAGATTTGAATCCGTTAGATTACAAGATATGGCAACACTTGGAGGAAAAGGCGTGCTCAAAGCCTCATCCCAATTTGGAGTCACTCAAGACATCCTTGATTAAGGCAGCCGCCGATATTGACATGGACCTCGTTCGTGCTGCGATAGACGACTGACGATAGACGACGCAGATTGAAGGCCTGTATTCAAAATCACGGAGGTCATTTTGAATAAACTTTAGTGTCATAAGAATCTATGTTTTGTTAAGTTCATTTTGGTATATGAATGGTTACATAATGAATAAACTTGTTTCAATTATTTTACATTAAACATGTGACAGAATTTATGACCTGACTAGGTATATAAAAAAACAACTGTGTAATTTTTAATGAAGAAATTTCCGCGTGATTTCTCTTGGGTTCAGCTATCGCATTTTGGCAATAAATTTTACATGCGTAATTGTTTTAATTGCACTATGTCTGTGAATGAGGTCACGGCCCAGCTAGTGTTCAGTGGTTACCGGAATCCGTAAATATTAAACGGTGAATATGCCTTGTAACATGAGGTCGAACTTTGAATTTTCTCATACAGCAGAAACCGGACTGTCTCGCGGTATAAATAGGCAGGATGACGGTATCTACCTGTGCGTGCTCGTGCAACAGTAAACCTTACCATAAGTAATGACGCAAATTTATATTTATGACGTATATGCGCACGAGGACCCATGGTTCAACATACCAAGATATGGTGACTGAACACAACAAGTGCAGTAGTGCAAAAAAACAAACTAATGTATTCGGCTGGTGACCGGGAGGAGAGGAAGTAGAATGTAGCATGCGATAGCATCCCGAGCGGCAGTCGCCCATCGCATGCTCTGACTCACAATCCGCTGCTGCCGATTGCTGATAAACACAATTCAGACTTTTGACGGAGTATAAACTTGTTTTTTTTTTTCATTGCTTAGATGGGTGGACGAGCTCACAGCCCACCTGATGTTAAGTAGTTACTGGAGCCCATAGACATCTAGAACGTAAATGCGCCACCTACCTTGAGATATAAGTTCTAAGGTCTCAGTATAGTTACAACGGCTGCCTCACCCTGCAAGCCGAAACGCATTACTGTTTCACGGCAGAAATAGGCGGGGTGATGGTACCTACCCGTGCGGACTCACGTGAGGTCCTACCACCCGTAATTACGCAAATTATATTTTGCGGGTTTGATTGATTGTATTGTCTTTGCAAAGAAAATTAAAAACATCAATAGCTTATTTAATGAGTCGTGTTGCGCCTGGGGCACCATGCCTGACTCACCGATGGTAGTGATGACGATGATGGAGTAGAAGAGGGCCCCGGTGAACGTCCACTGTATGTGGTGTGTGCTCTCATTCCCGTCCCAGCCACGGACCTTCATCTCCAGGAGTATGGCGTTCTCGAAGTCCTGGTTTTAAATCGTGCATCGTTTAACATCAAGGATAACTTCGGTCGAGAGCAGTCGCGACCGCTCAACTACTTTGTCGGTTACCAGTGGTATACAGAACGGAGAGTTGAGCTATTGAATATTTAGATGGACGTTTCTGCCACATTCATTGAGTCTTTCAAATAAACTGCACGGTGTTTCCGGAACACTATGATATATCCTTCTTCGAACTAGGCTTGCGGAGAGTACTCAACAGTAGGCAGCGGGTTGGCTTTGCCTCTGCCCTTGCTGAGATCCATGAACGAAGGTGACCACTCACCATCAGATGGATTGTATAGTCGTCGACCACAAATAACAATAATCAAATTTAAGAAGGGTGTCCTAACTTTCAAACTGAAACTTTATGGGTAGCTTTCCCTATGGAAATATGCAGACCGGTGGTACAGGTCCGTTTGGACTCACAAGCTCCACGTTATTTAATTCCTTTTCTATTTACTAGTGGTAGGACGTCTTGTGAGTTCGCATGGGTAGGTACCACCGACCTGCTTATTTCTGCCGTGAAGCAGTAATGCGTTTCGGTTTGAAGGGTGGGGCAAGCGTTGTAACTATAATGAGGCCTTAGAAAAAAGGAGAAAAAATAATACCTCAGCCCGTGTGCGATGATGATCTATATTTTGGTTGGTAAGTTTGTTTGTGGATCTTAAAGCACAGGAGCCGCCTACCTTCAGCATGTCAACAGTGGAGGAAGTCCAGTTCGTGTGGTTGAACAGGGGCACGCTCTTGGTCATGGTCCAGATGCTCTGGGTAGTGTTCTTCCGTATTTGTGATATATTCATCTTGACCTGTTCAAATGTTTATATTTTTTTTTAACGTCTGATTGAATTAGAGAAAATATGGCCATGACCGGCTTATTGTTTCAAAATTTGTTAGGTTTCCTCACGCAACTGGTAGCCGCGTTAGTCAAATGATTAGTGGCCCCATGCCGAGTAGAGCCTAATGCAAAGCAGTTTAACCCAATGAGTTAAGTGCCACTTAAACGAATACTGAATATATTTCACGAAGAAACTGCCTTGATATGTCAATCAATAAAAGCTCCATGAAACAGAAGTCAGTGTCCACACCCACTATTCTATTAAGTGAGTTTTAATTTTCATTTCAATAATTCCCTAATTTTTGTATGAAGACATGCTGAAAACTTTCCAACAAAATCATCTCATTGTTTTTGTAATCTATTTAAAACATCCGGTGAAATGAAATTAAAACAAGCCCCTCATGAGTGATTGAGCCGCCTTCCACGCGCTTCACTGAACGAAATCTGTCGGCGGTCAGAATAATTATCATGTTTAGTACGAGAATATATTACGGATTAGAGCGAACTTTTCCGATTAAAATTGAATTTTATTAATCATCATATATATACATAGTTTCTTAAACCGTGTATAAAAAAGACAATTTTCAAAGTCGAAACGGAAATAAAGTACCTTCTAGTATGTATTGATAGATAAGACATATTACAAGCGACACAAACTGTATCTAATGTACCCCCATTTGCAACTAAATAGTCTTGCATTCTGACTTGAAGAGTGGTATAACCGAATTGAGACTTAGACCTCAAGTATCAACTTGGGTGGCGACATCCACGTTGTGGCGTCTGTAAGCTCGGGTGACCACCTAACAACAGGCGGGTGCCACAACCCACCAACGCAATTAAAATAATTAAGGAAGGATGAAACCAATTGTTACTTGATTACTAGTTGCAGTTGTTTGAAACTTTGTTTAATTGTTATCTAGTGGTAATGACCATAACCGCTACCTTCCAGACTTCGGTGGCTATTCCAGACTATTCCAACAGAGTTGACGAACATGCATTTTTATTTCTTTCTTTAAGCCACATCGGATAATTTTAAATTGGTCCTAAAACAATTTTATGTTCCAAGCGTACATTCATAAAGCTATGTTACTCTGAACCATTCACGTCCACATAACGTTTTTGAAGATGTTTAAATTTAGTAGTTTACATACGAACTTAATAAAATTCAGTCGAAACATAAAGCAGAACTGACTTTTATGATTTGTTTTCTAGCAGTATGAATGTTTATTGTAACGTTTATAATATTTTTATGCGAACATTCATAGCTTTCATAACTATATGGTGACCGATTGTCACTCTTGCGAAACTAGGCCCGCTGTTTATTTAGACGAGAGACAGAGACGCTTGAAACCAAATTGACGACATTTTATTAAAGCTAGTATTAGGTCGAAGTGTCGGGGAATCGTTTTCCTAGTCCCAAAAGCTTATTTGCATTCGCTTTTTTTAGTTTTTTTTGTTGCTTATATAGGTGGACGAGCTTACGGCCAACCTGATATGAAGTGGTTACCGGACCCCATAGACATCTACAACGTAAATGCCGCCACCCACCTTGAGACATGAGTTTTAAGGTCTGACTTTTAACAGTACAACGGCTGCCCCGTTCTTCAAACCGGAACGCATTACTGCTTCAAGGCAGAAATAGGCGGGGTAGTGATACCAACCCGTGCGGACTCACAAGACGTCTTACCACCAGTAAATTGAGTGTAATTAATAAATTATAGTATTGTTAGTCACAATAAAACACAGTAACGTGTTTTCTGTACGAAGGCTTTTCTATTTATCTAGAGAGACAGCAGAATATAGGTACATATATATTATGGCCTAGACTACTTGAAGCTATCCAGTTTTCGTTCTCTTTATTAATATCACATACATCGCGCCTTGGTACGAGGATGGCGCTTCAGTTATATTGAAAAACCGTCCGTCTTCGAATCGAAATAGGCAGTTATCTGTTATCGATCACAATTGGCTTCACGACAGTCTCACCCTTAAAACCTGAACGTATGACTGCTTCCCGTCAAAAATAGGCAGAGTGCTGATACCTGCTCGTCGGGGCTAGTGCCACGTCATTTCGGATCCTCCCGATCCACTAACGGTGCTATTAGGTACCTCAAGCACCGGTCATCGTTCTCGTCGAACTCATCGCTTGCGACGAAGGGCTCGACGAGTAAATTAGCCCTCAGATAAAGCCCACTAAGTTTCTCGCCGGATCTTCTCAGTGGGTCGCGTTTCCGATCCGGTAGTACATTCTGCGAAGCACGGCTCTTGCTAGGGTTCGTGTTAGCAACGTCGTCAGGTTTGAGCCCCGTGAGCTCACCTACTAGCTAAGGCTACGCTGGAATAGCCTCTCAAGGCTCTCAGTTTTGGTAGGGAAAAAAGGGGCTAGTACAGAAATAATTAACAATGGACACACATAGAAGTGGTAGGTGCAGACGATCCTTACATCTTTCTCGTGCTCCGCTTCCAGCTTCTCGAAGATGACGGCTCCGAGGATGCAGTAAGCCACGACCAGGCTGATCATCACGAAGTGCGAGAAAACCACCGAACATAGCTTCCACGTGTAGTATAGGAACTGTTGATAACACACGCCATAGGGTTACTCTTTCTAATACACACACACACACTCTTTCTAACTAAATAGCCAAAACTTATAAGAGGTTGATGGAGGAGATGTTGCATTCCCCCATGGGTAAATACTTACATACATATTTCTGCCGCAAAGTACCTAACTATACGTTCCGCCTAAGAAGGAAGACATTTTTGCTATGTTTGAACTCAACATCACATTTCATAATTTTCTTAGGCAGATTTTTTTTTATTGACCTTGTAGGCAAACGAGCATACGGCCCACCTGATGATAAGTGGTCACCGTCGCTCATGGACGTCAACAATGACAGGGGCAGAGCCAAGCCGCTGCCTACCAATGACATGACATGATCTCACACCTCGTTTGATGGTAGACTGCTGCGGGAGTCCTTCGACAACATAACGTGAAAGCCAGCGCCCATCTTAAGACTTAAGATTACAAGCTCAACTGTTTTGGTTGATCTAACCACTTTTAATAAATAGTGGAAAAAACCCGAATATTCCAATATAAGCGAGTAAACGTTTCCTTATGTCAGTCCATTCATGACTAAAACACAGCTAGATGCTCATTTCGCAAATCAAAATACTTCAGTGTACTCACTTTCGCACATTTGCTAGGCGGAGGCGCCGGGTACTCAATCCTATCACTCCTCAGTTCACGCCGAGACATTTCCGACACGAATTAACACACTGCGACCCTCAAGCGCCTCCCCACAATCACTCACGATCTAACTCAATACAAATGTCGTAAATCAAAACTATCGAATCCTCTTAATATTTTGATGTTATGATTTGTAGTTTAATTAAATATTTACGTAGTGGTAACGTCACAACGTGGCGCAGGCGGGCGGCGCGGGCCTGCGTCGGGTTATTCTGAAACCGGCCGCCGTCCGCCAACACTATGATTTTACGATCAGTAACGACAGATCTATTAGGATTGCCACCTGTTCAATTTTAATGCACGCGCATTTAGATTTTTCAAGGCAAAGCTTTGTTGAAAGGAAAATTTACTTGAGGTAGGGGACTTGTGGCCCCGCGGATAGGCACTGAGATCCTGCCGTGAAGCATCACATGCGAAGCGACCACATGTCTCGTGGGTAGTAGTGATGTTTTGTCTTTACTTATTCATACAGAGACTACTGCAACCTTCCCAAATCTACATATTGCAATTTATGATTATAACACCCCCAAAGTTCCACCAAGTTGAGTACCATCTCTTAGAAGTAGTTTTTACATTACCAATATTGTTGTTCATTTGTGCAGACTAAATACAAAATTTGGGCGTCTCTATTATTTTCCAATTTTTTCAAAAAAAATAATTAATTGACTGAATCAGTTTAAAAATGCACAGCCCTACACGCGTATATTTGCGACGGTTTTGCATGAAACCATTCATTTGCTGTGTACCTACCTGCCTTTAAATAGACGTAACCCACTTCCAAAGTAATCCAAAGTTCCGAACGATTCGAGAATTACGAACATTGAAGTCAGCTCTATCATTCATTCTGTTAAATTATAAAATTAAAATACATTACTTATGTACTTAAATACGGATTAAACACGTGTTGGAAGGTAATCTTTGATTGCGAACCGGTCACCGTCCTCGTCGAACCCGTCGCTTGCGACGAAGGGCTCGACGAGTAAATTAACCCACAGACACAGCCCACTGAGTTTCTCTCCTGATCTTCTCAGTGGGTCGCGTTTCCGATCCGGTGGTAGATTCTGCCAAGCACTACTCTTGCTAGGGTCAGTGTTAACATCACTCCGGTTTGCGCCCCGTGAGCTCACCTACTAGTTAAGGTTACGCTGAAATAGCCTCTCAAGGCTATCAGCATAAGTAGGGGGAAAAAAGATTGATATGTCTTCACTAACTACTACATCCTGTATTCAAACCAAGCCAGAGAAAGTTTACAATGTTGTGAGACAAATGAACATATCGATGAAACATACAAAAACTGCGAACATGGCGAATGTAATCGCACCCGCAACACAGACATCGTTCTATTTTTATTCATTTCTTTCAATTAATATATATATACATAATTATAAATGACGGTATAGGGATAAATATACTTATTAGTAAAAAATATAATTGTGAGTATGAACGCGCTTTTATTTTGTTCATTCATTAACAATGCTTACAATGTTACATTATGTATACAATGTTTACAATAAAAACATAACATTCTGGAGAAAACACGTAGGCTATAAATGTTATCTGTCATTTCGAACGAAAACAACGAGTGGGGCCAGTGGGGGGGGTGTGGACCAAGACTTCTGTATTATTGAAGTCGAAGCGTCAACATATGTGTATGCGACTATGCGTCAATTATTTGGTATCGTTGTCAACAAATTTTCGGTTGCTTGTGCCTGAACTAAATATAAAACTTCTTCACGGTCGGGGACTACGAGTGTAACAGAGCAGGGTATCCAAATACCAGCTGGTTCCATTTAATGCAACATTAGACACGATGTATTTGGGAAAGTTGTCTCTGATAGTTTATTCCAGTCAGATTAAGGAATTGTTTGAAATAATTCCGTCATCCTATTGTCATCCGCGTAGTAGAGCCCGTGTCTGTGTGCTTAGTGCGATTTTTATAACGTTCTCGATAGCGTAAAAGTTAACTCAAATTTGTATGCAGTTGGAACAGCGCCCCTAGCGGCAAACGTAGGCAAACTTTCAACGAGACAAACTTTTACGCTATCGAGAACGTTATAAAACTCACACTTAGCACACTGGTGCAGCGACCGTCACATTAGAACTTCACAATATATAAACACGTGCGTGAAAGTCGCCCCGGTGATTGCCAAATTAAAAAGCGGACGGTAGAGAGGAGATGCATGTGACTAGGAGATGTATGGAAATGGTAGTGCAAGGTAGAGGGAGAAGAGGTCGATCAAAGAAGACATGGATGGAGTGTGTGAATGATGATATGAGAGAAAGGGAGGAGTAAGTGTTGAGATGATGGTTGATAGAAGAGAATGGAATAAAAAAATTCCTCGTGGCGACCCCACTTAGTGGGATAAGGTGGAGAGAAAACAAAAATACTGTTTTAATAAACAATATTAGAATAGTTCTACATGGAAGCGCTCTTCTAGATAGAAAAATATAGTTTTTTTTTTTATTGCTTTGTTGGGTGGACGAGCTCACAGCCCACCTGGTGTTAAGTGGTTACTGGAGCCCATAGACATCCACAACGTAAATGCGCCACCCACCTTGAGATACAAGTTCTAAGGTCTCAAGTATAGTTACAACGGCTGCCCCACCCTTCAAACCGAAACGCATTACTGCTTCACGGCAGAAATGGGCGGGGTGGTGGTACCTACCCGCGTGGACTCACAAGCGGTCCTACCACCAGTATAGTGTAAACAAATATATTAAAATTGTTATTTTCATCTACCTCACTTTTTATTAGGTAAAATACGTCCTAGTTTAAACTAGATATTGTCTATTATTATCTTAACTATGTCATGTTTCCTAATTTACAATCAACAGGGAGTCGATTGTATATCTTTCGACTTGCGCGGCTCTCTGTGTCGTGTTGCGATCTGTTCCGCCTCCTGTATGGTGTCGGGGAGGGTCGTGTTGAGGGTCTCGGGTGTGGTGGTCATGAGCAGCCCGGCCACGAGGGCTGTACAGCCGAACAACACTGACGGCAACCATTTTACGTAGATCTCCTGAAATTTTTGGAATAATCGTGCTATTAGTGCAGTTTTAATCGTAAAAACTATCTGTGGTGTTAGAGATTTTAACTGTAGTGCAATCTCATAGCTTTAGGATAAAGTCTCTACCAGAGCTCAGAGGTGTAATAATAAATAAAATCGTAGTATCGGTTACATTACACGGAGGCCACTCCATCCACGACTCAAGGCATACTTTTCGTTTCTTAGTAGAAAGAGACGAGACGATGGGACCTTTTGTCCGGGCTCCCAGCACGCCCAACAGTAATTACGAACGTTTATAAATGTTCCCTATTGTAACACACTTGTGAACATGTATTAAGTACTTATTTCTTTTAATAAATGATACCACACTTCGAGATTTGAACACCTGTGGTGTCACAACACTTGACGCGATTACACAGGTCTTCACACCCCCAGATATACGCAGATCGTATCTATGATATCAGAGAGGCTCAACTTTCTTTAATATTGCGATGCCAATTTAGATTTTAAATTTTTTTTATTGCGGAAATGGTTGGACGTGAGATCGTCCCACCCACCTAGTGTTAAGTGGTTACTGTAGACCATAGACATCTACAACATAAATGCGCCACCCACCTTAAGATATAAGTTCTAAGATCTCAGTATAGTTACAACGGCTGCCCCACCCTTCAAGCCGAAACGCATTACTACTTCACGGCAGAAATAGGCGGGGTGGTGGTAGCTACCCGTGCGGACTCACAAGAGGTCCTACCACCAGTAATTACGCAAATTATAATTTTGCGGGTTTGATTTTTATTACACGATGTTGTTGTTAATTAAATTAAATTAAAGAGCGGGCGGTTAGCGTGGTGTGGTCATGTGATGCGTAGAGAGGAGATGCATGGGACTAGGAGATGTATGGAAATGGCAGTGCAAGGTAGAGGGAGAAGAGGTCGACCGAAGAAGACATGGATGGAGTGCGTGCATGACGATATGAGAGAGAGAGAGGAGTGAGTGTTGACATGACGGCTGATAGAAGAGAATGGAATAGAAAAATCCGCTGTGCCGACCCCATCTAGTGGGATCAGGTGAAGAAAAAGAAGAAGAATATGTTATTGTTAGTCAAAGTACAAACCAGCAAAGGCATCTGCGGTGCAACAATGGACCCGATCCTGCCGACCATCGAGCAGAAGGCCAGCAGCGAGTGTCTGGCGCGGGTCGGGAACAACTCCGACGTGTACATGTAGATGCCGTTGAAGGCCTGAGTGATGGCGACCTTCCCTAGCAGGTACAAAAATATGGACAGCCAAACTATATCTGAAATTAGAAACAGGAAAATAAAGATTATTGAGGAGAAATTGCGACGTATTATAAACGCAGATCGATAAGAGTCCACCATCTTGTCTATTCACTACACAAAGCAGTCACGCGTTCCGGCTCGAAGGATGTAATAGCCTGTAAGTATAACTACAATACAACAGAGTTCGGGAGCGTGCCGCAAGGTGGGGAGGGCATGCATGGGGGTTTGTGATTCCCACAGGCTCCAGTATTCACTGGTCTACGAGCTTGCCCGCCTACAACCCACAGAAAAACCTTAACGAATTAATTCTACGAAATCATTAAATTGAAGAACATAAAACATCTACTAATCGTACCTATTCTAATAAAATGCTCATTATTGTGTACACTGTCGAATTGTAAATGTATTCACAAACGTTTTAAGGAAAATCAATACGGAGGCTATACGTTTGAGACAATACCTGTCAGGGCACTTTGCTCGTAGCCATTAAATTTAAGAATTATTGTGTGATAACTATCTGGGTGAGGCAAAGAATTACCTATGTAGACTCTTTATTACAGTAACAAAATGATTGAGGACACTGGGAATTAGAATAAACAGCTGCAGAGTCACTGCTCGGCAGACGTGCTCAGGGTCGAGCTGCAAGCGGTACGTCTGTATCGTCGTGTAATAATTGAACAGCTGTAAGCATACTTGGAATTGTTTGAGACGATCCCTTCATCTCCTTTTTATCATCGCACCTCCCGCCATCGGAGTAGAGTTCATCCATATTATCTGGAACCGCTGCGTTAATCGACAGTGCGTTTCCAGAGGTCTTTTTTGCCACGTATCATCCGGCTATGGAATGAGCCCCCCTCCATGGTGTTTCCCGAGCGCTATGACATGTTCTTCTTCAAAAGAGGCTCATGGAGAGTATTAAGCGGTCGGCAGCGGCTTGGCTCTGCCCCTGGCATTGCTGAAGTCCATGGGCGACGGTAACCATTCACCATCAGGTGGGCCGTATGCTCGTCTGGCTACAAGGGCAATAAAAATAAAATAAAAAAAACTCACGATTACGGACAAACGGAATCGCGCAGCAAGAAACCCCGCAGACCATAAAACCGATGAGTAAAGATCTCTTCCTGCCGATCCTGTCCAGAACCAAAGCGTTGATGACCACGCCGATCACTTCCACGCTCACAACTAGCATGTAGTTAGTGTACTTGTCTCCGGCAAGAGAAACAGAATTGATCGCCAGTCCGTAGAATACGAAGGTGCAAGTTATCCACCACCAGGAGCAAATAGCCAATCGCTTCATTATGATCGGAGATCTCATGACTTGAGACCATATGCCTGGCTCATTCTGTATTTCCTTCTTTTCTTCCATGGTCTGGGGCTTATCTTCTGTCAACTCCCTCAGGGTTTCTTCAGAAAGAGTTACATTGTTCATTTTTGCTGCTCTCTTTATGATCTTTATGGCTTCTTTTTTCTTTCCTTTTGAAAGCAACCATCTTATGCTTTCAGGAAGAAAATATATGTAGGAGAGGAAGAGTAGAGCTGGAGGGTAGACCACCAGGATGAACGTCCTCCAGTATTGAAAGGTTTTAGCCATAAGAGCAAAACAAACTCCTCCCATGGAGATGACAATGCCCAGGAATGCTGTCGTTAGAACCCTCTTGTCTTGACCCAGTAATTCGATTGCTGTAATTAAATTGAATTATCAAACAAACTTTAATTTAGCACCAAATATGAAAAATATATGTACAAAATTTGTTTGTACAAAAAAATCAACCAACAATGCTTTGGTTGAGCAGTTGTAGTGAATTAAATTAGCGGGACCTTTAAATAGGCAAGCTATCTTTATTTGAGGTGTTTGTTGAGTTTTTTTACATCGCATGATAGAGTCGTTTTTCTCTTTTGAGTAAAAAAGGTCAGGCTGAGAACGGTTTTTATCCTGAAAGTATTCCAAAAGTGATACGCTTTCTACTCACTTAAAATGTACGAAGCAGGGAATGTGCTAGCCCCGGCTATGGTCTCCAAGAACTCCACAATAACGTACATTTCGTAGGAGACCGAGAACGCCTTCAGCGTGCCGATGACCCCCACCAAGGTACAGCTCAGGATTAACGCCACTTTACGACCGAACCTGAAATAGACAAACGTCAATCGCTACAATTGTTACTACACCTTTACCACCGCCACCCACTTTAAGACACGAGTTCGGTGTCTAAAAAAACATGCTTGTATTAAACTGGAATAAATATTAAAATAAATACTTTTTTACCCCTGTGTTTTGTTAGGTTAGGCATTAATTAATCGTGCAAATTTTCAATTTAATCGGTATTGAAGTTGTTGAAAATTTCTTTCAAAGAATGCATTAGGATTTTTTATTTATTAGGTATATACATTACTGTAAAAGCCTAAGATTTTCCAGGAAATCCTAACATTTACCAACTCTTAATGGTAAAAGTCCGAGCTGTTCTATGATCATCGTTTATTTCGGACTTTTACCATTCGCTTGGTAAATTTTAGGATTTACCTCAAAGACAAGGTAAATGTCGAGATAAACATGTCAATATGTGCTTGGCGTATGGCCTTGAAGGAAGAAAATGTTGTTGAAAATGAGTCAGAAGAGGACATAAACAGTATTAATTTGAGGAATAAAACCCAAGAAAATGTAACTGAAATTATGATGGAGAACTAAATAACCAATGAAACCGCTTCAGAGACAGAAAACTTAACTCAAGCTCAAGAAGACCCAATTCCGAAAAAGATAGAATCAGTCCAGACAATAGGAAAAAAGGCAAAAATCTATTTGGAAAACCAAGTTGGAAAAATGAAAGCCATGTCTGATAAATATCCAAATATAACAAAAAGTTGGCCAAAATGTTAGACTTAAAAAAAGAAATGATTCAGTTAGATTAGCCATAATAGGGAGCGTTATGTACTTTTTCAAGATAATTGAAATTGTGTTGTTTCTATTATTCTAAAAGGGTTTAAAAATTATTTATTACTAGTAAAATTTAATCAATAAAAATACCAAAAGATAATATAGGTTACGATTTAACTGATTAGTAGTACAAATTATTAATAATTACTTATAGGTATGTAAGGATTTGAATATTAATTGAAATAAATAATTGAGAAGTATGCATTGTTTTATTTCCAAAACCAAAATTTACAGCTGTCACTGGTAAAACCTAGCATATACTAAATTCTAATGGTAAAAGCCCGATAAAATCATTTCTTTTTTACATATTCTTACATTTACCGACTCGTGTTGATAAACCCTAAGATTTACTGGTAAAACCTAAGATTTACCAATATTCGGGCTTTTACAGATGTTGATGTATGGATGCAGATCAAGATAATAAAAACTTGTTAAAAATAGAGAGCCTATTGTGTTATAAGCCGTGTAGCTCACCGATCAGAGATGTATCCCAGTATGGGCAGAGAGACCAGCATCCCGATGTTGTGGATTGTTCCGACCAGGGTTCGCTTCCACTCTTGGCAGGCGAGGTTGAACTGGTGAATTTACAAATAGCATCCTTGTAATCTTTTGTGAGTTAATATGGTTCAGCGATCCGCATTCAACCACCACAAAGCGGGGCTTCCTCCTGTGTTACAAAACACCGGCATCGACGCGGGAAACATCTAGGCCCCAATGCTTTGTACATTGAATAATAACCTAAGCATGACTCAGCTGTCCAGACTGGGCTACTTATCTTCAAGCCGGTCCAGATCAAAAAGTTCAAGACGATGATCATTTTTACCATATGAACATACGCTGGTAAAGTCCACTATATCTTCCGCGAATAATCTCGCCACGATGACGTCTCATACTAGGTAGTGGACTCAATTTATTTCCCAATCTATTTTTTTGGCATTCCTCCTTACACCATTACATAATGCAGTCACAATGAAACCTTATTCATGTCAAGGGACCAGTGAACTTTCAACAATAACTGGCATTGACGAAAGAAAATTATCTGTTAAACCTGTAGTAATAGATTTTTAATTGAAGTCATTTTGTATAATTAAATAGTATCATTAAATCATTTCGTTGCGTTTGTATCTAGATTACTTTTATTTAGATTAAGGTCATATTTATTGATTGTGTCAAAATATTTAAAAGGGCAGTGTACATAAACTGTAGGTATCGGCGAGTTATTGAAACAAATTGAACCGTACCCACTGTGTCTCTCGCCGGATCTTGACAGCGGGTCGTAATTTCGATCCGGTTGATAGATTCAGCGCAGCAATGCCCTTGCTAACGTTAATTCTATTAAATTCTCCAGGCTGGATCTTGCTTACACGTTCGGCGAACCTAGTATAACCCCTCCAGGTTACTAGGATAGATAGGCAAAAAAGAGAATTTCACGGATTTGCCTTTGAAATTTACTAGATACACTCCGGCCCAACGTTCTTGCAGTATTTAGAAAGATACGTGTTTTATAGACGGAAAAATCGATCTCATACACCACCTGATGTTAAAAGGTAGCCGGACAACGTAGGTGCCACATTAAACCTTAAAAACTGTAGAAAATAACTGACATGTGATACAAACCTCAGCAACAATAGTATTGTTATTAGCGTAAATCCAATGGTCGCATGCTAGTGCCTCTTGACTGAAGGAAGTGTTTGCACTGCAGGGCTGGGTCAGAGGAACGCGCCTGGAGCACCTCTCGCCCTGACCCTCGACCGCGGCGTTCGGTAACCAAACGGGATTAAAATCCGTAGTGTTTAGAGATTCGCACTCCGGGACGGTGCATCTATAAAAAACAATGTATTATTACATATTAATACAATGTTAAAGGTCTGTCGTGATCAGCAAACGTGTTCATGGGTCATTTGTTGTTAAATTATTCATTTACCGTAGAAGGTTAACTACTTTGGACCATATTTAATCTTCTATGCCTTATTCTAAGGCTATTTTACTCGCTGAGCCCTTCGTCGCAACCAACGGGTTCGACGAGAACGATGACCGGTGCTTTTTTTTTATTTATTGCTTAGATGGGTGGACGAGCTCACAGCCCACCTGGTGTTAAGTGGTTACTGGAGCCCATAGACATCTACAACGTAAATGCGCCACCCACCTTGAGATATAAGTTGTAAGGTGTCAGTATAGTTACAACGACTGCCCCATTACTGCTTCACGGCAGAAATAGGCAGGGCGGTGGTACCTACCCGCGCGGACTCACAAGAGGTCCTACCGCCAGTAATTACGCAAATTATAATTTTACGGATTTCAATTTTATTACACGATGTTATTCCTTCACCGTGGAAGTCAATTGTGAACATTTGTTGACTACATAATTCATTAGAAAAATTGGTACCCGCCTGAGATTCGAACACCGTCGCATCGCTCAACACGAATACACCGGACGTCTTATCCCTTAGGCCACGACGACTTGGGGTACCTAAATGTAACCCATATTCACAGCCCACTGAGTTTCTCGCCGGGTCTTCTCAGTGGGTCGCGTTTCCGATCCGACGATAGATTCTGCGAAGCACTGCTCTTGCTAGTGTTAGCAACACCTCCAGGTTTGAGCCCCGAGAGCTCACCTACACGCTAGGGTAACACTGATATAGCCTCTCGAGGCTCTCAGCATCGGAAAAAAACTATCTAAATAACTTCACGAAGTTGACTCCATTTGCAATTATTTGCAAGCCTGTGATGTGCGATTGGGCTAACAAATTTACGAAAAGTCTACGTTCACCTATTCCTAGACAAATTGCATTGAATTGAAGTATCAAGTCTTTAAAACGGGGATTGTCTTATTTGTGTTGCTTTAGATGAGTGGATGAGATCATGGCCCACCCAGCATTAAGTGGTTACTGAATCCAATAGATACTACAAAAGTGGGGGCCATCAGTGCCATCAGTGGGGGCTTAAGCTGCACCTTTTCACCAAAAGAGTCAACATGTTTTTGCTAATCGGTAGGCTCGGGCTCGGGAGTTGCGTGCTCTTTGAGTGACTCATGAACCGGCCTCTTATCAAACGTAAAAAATTGTTTTTGTATTTAACCTTAGACGTGACAACCGTGCAGCGGGCCATGTGACTACATCAGTCGTAGTCATGAGCGGACATAATGGAACAAAAGTTATTGTTAAAAAAATTACGTATAATTACAATAAGTGTGAAATCATTGGGCTTAAAATTTGTATAGCTTTGTTATTGGAGCTAAAGCTGACAGCCGGCCCTAAAAATTATAATTTGCGTAATTACTGGTGGTAGGACGTCTTGTGAGTCCGCGCGGGTAGGTACCACCGCCACCACCCTGCCTAATTCTGCCGTGAAGCAGTAATGCGTTTCAGTTGGAAGGGCGGAGCAGCCGTTGTACTGTTTATAAGTGAGACATTAGAATTCATATCTCAAGGTGGGTGGCGGCATTTACGTCGTAGATATCTATGGGCTCCGGTAACGACTTAACACCAGTTGGGCCGTGAGTTCGGCTACCGAACTAAGCAATAAAAAAATAAAAAGCCAAGTTGAAAAATTGTCTTGCCATCCGGTAGACAGCTTTTGGTTTTTTTGTCCAAATTATACTTCGATTTTATATCTCAAAATACTAAATTTTCACACTAAAACTTGAAATCCTAGTACGGATTCAATTCGTGTAAACGATTACAAAGTAACGCGGACTGTATATTTATATAGTCGTTAGTAAATAAAGGTTAGCGATTTTGTTAATCACGTGTGTTCCGCTCACCGCTTGAGTAAACAACGAACAGCCTATTATTATCATTGAACTGTTATGTAAACATTGAATGTTGTTTTCGCGGGAAATTATCACATTGTTAAATATTGAGTCACGTGGATGTCAAACTTAAAATGTCTGTTTTTTTTTATTTATTGCTTATATGGGTGGAGGAACTCACAGGCCATCTGGTGTTAAGTGGTTACTGGAGCCCACAGACATTTACAACGTAATTGCCCCACCCACCTTGAAATATAAGTTCTAAGATCTCAGTATAGTTACAACGGCTACCCTACCCTTCAGACCGAAACGCATTACTGCTTCACGGCAGAAATAGGCGGGGTGGTGGTACCTACCCGTGCGGGTTCACAAGAGGTCCTACCACCAGTATTATAGAGTGGTGTAAGAAGATAGTTACTGAAGTCAAAACGCGGGCGTGAAATAACCGATGACATTCGAGGATTTAGTTTGTGTTTTAATATGCGTTCGTTAAAACGTAACAATCACTACCACTTGACTTCGTGTACAAGATCGATCTCCACGCACTCTCTATACAAACACGATAAAACCTTCAGCGTTGGGATGACATGGCACAGTCATGGTAGGCTCATGCGGGCTAGTCGCTAGACACTAACTATATCAAAGGGTAAAAGACTATTTCATTTAACTGACATGCAATTTACAGGAGAGAGCCATATAAAGTTTAAAATAAAAAATAAAAAATACGTGTGGCACTCGAAGACTGCCGCGGTAAAGCTATTGCATAGCATTTTTTATCAACTTATGCAATTATAAATCGACAATAATAATTTAATATTAAAACAACAATAAAATAAGACCACGCTTTATTTATAAACATTAACAAAAGCAAAACATTAACTGTCCCCTTCACACTCATAACCTAGACTGCGCGAGGGAGAGATAGGCAGACTTTTCATGATGTGCATGCGGCAGTGCGACGTCACGCTGCGCACTTATTCACAAACACTACACAAGCGCAACGTGTGAATGTGTTGAACGCGAGCTACATAGTAGGCGTAGTGGGGGTGTCAGGTTATTTTCGTTACGGAATTTCTTGATTCAGTCGGCGCGCTCAAAGCCCGCGATAAAAGCTATGCAATAGCTTAAAAATATCGTAACAAAATACTTCTTCAGCTATTGGAATTCAGTAAACTTAATTGATGTTCAATTAAAACATCGAACTGTTGATGCTGATACCAAATAAAACGCACCTTTAATTGATGTTCAATTAAAACTTCAAACTGTTGATGCTGATACCAAATAAAACGCACCTTTAATTGATGTTCAATTAAAACTTCAAACTGTTGATGCTGATACCAAATAAAACGCACCCTTAATTGCAAAGATAAAAGCCGCTTAAGCCAAATAGTGGCAAATAGCATTTCACTCCTCGATATTATTATAAGCCACGACGTAAGTTTCGCATCCATGTTGACCCTCACAAAGATATCTCCATTATACTCGAATAACTTGCTAACCACTTAAATATATTTTGAGTGGTAATATATTATTTAGCAGCCAGTCCTCACTGATTACGAACACTTATATTCGAAACATATTATAAAATGAACTAAACAAAGTAATAGCTACTCAAAGTTATCGGTATTTCAACAACAATGATTAAAATAATGAGGTTTTTGGATATCATTAATCGTAACCTAGTTTTCTTTAACAAAAACAAAACTAACATAGCACCTGCTGTGGCCGTTGTAGGTGCTTTTGAGAGCTACAAAGTGCTCATGTACGAGTGAAACTCAGTTCGGAATCAAAAGCAAAATCCCACAGACACGGCATACTGAGTGTCCCGCCGGTACTTCTCACTGAGTCGCAGGTTACAAGCAATATGTAAGGGAAACTCAAAATGGACAGTAATTCACTCTTTATTAAAGAAGCACAATCAATATGTCCTCTATGTCCTCCGGCAGAATGTGGAAGAATCTTTCTTTTATAATATCGTCGTGAGCGATCCATATCAGTGTAGCTACTTTCTAGAGAACATACTTTTAAAGGTTCCCCGTACCTATCCTCGCGGATAACTCAATTAAATTTTCTACACCCCACCTGTAAAGTCTAATTTGGGACGGCAAGCACCCCTCCGTAGAATAATTGATAAGTATCATTCCCTTATCACAGTAATGCCCGATCTTGATGTGTTCCACGATAAGTTGCGTGTATTTAAGGACAAAATGAGGAAAGAAAGAAAAAACGCACCTTAACTTTAATCGTTAATCATTAGTTGTTTTATAACTGACTTGTTGTTGCTTGATATTGTATTGACATTTCTTCTTTTTTTTTTCTTTTTTTTTTGATATGTCATGACCTTTATTAGACATTCATATTAATATTTCTAAAATTATTACTATTTTACTTGTTAAATTTTAATCTCAAAGTATGTTTTCATTAGGTATTCTCTTTTTTTTATTATTATTGTGCCGATGAATTGCCTATGTTTGTACGCCATTATTGTCACATGTATCAGGCCATAAATTAAATAGTTTGTTATTTTCAATGTTAAATATTTGTGATGTGCAGTACTTTTGTAAGTAAATAAATAAATAAATAAGATAACTAATATTCAGATAAATACGACGTGATTCACATAAATATGAAGTGATTCAGGTAAATATTATCTCGAGCTTAAACGCCTACATCACCCGTGGATGAGAGGAACCGGGGGGTGGCAACTCTCCGTGGGAGCGATGAGGTGGCTTATCAATACACATAATGCACTGACAGAAATATTCACTTGCAAATTAATCAAGCGTCCATTTACATGTACACTTTACAAGAGATGAAGTGGTGATTCCGAAATCTTTAACCAGAGTCATGGCCTAGATACATTCATGTATATACTTGCATCATAAATTCTAAATTAAATATTTATCTCTGCGTATACTAGCTAATTTACCTGTAATTAACATCAGCAGCGAGGAAGACGTAGGTGATGGAATAGGTAGCAGCACTAAGCACAGGCAGGGCCAGTAGAATATAGTTCACAACGTGGAACCTACCGAGATGACCCAACCCCTCCATGATCTGATCCGTGGCTACACTAGAACTTCCCCCTGCGGGTCTCATCTTAATGTCTCACTTAGACCGTCTATATTTGATGAGCTCGGTCTGATTCGAACTGAATTTAAATCAAAGGAATAAACTGTCTGAGGGCGTATGCTTTTAAGAATTTGTACACATTAAAATATATTTGAATACAAAATGTATCCAAATATAAAATACGTGGAAGTCTATAGCCTGTCGCTCGGGTATGCGATTTAGAATTAAAATGTTCGTCTCTTTTTTAGTCGAGTTTATTTTATTACTCAGAAGTGCGACGCGACGCGACCGGACCTCGCGACACTGTCACAACTACACACAGCTGCTCCGGTCGCTCCGGATGCTACTACATATAAGCTAAGTCATCCACCAAGCAGATGCTCGAATGGCTGCCGGATCATTCGTTCTTGCTGAGCATTCGAGGGCATAATATTTCCTGAATCTTTATACCTTTAGTTGTCGATAGGCGCACAAATTGATTAAGGCATAAAAATTCGTAACCTCATCAGCATTAAATAATATCTATTCTAGTATTTGGAAATGAGCAACCCCTGACTTTCTTGCACATTGTTCTCAGTAATGAAACAGATTTTCGTATTGGTGATAAAGATATGACTATTTCAAAACACTTCTAAAGGCGATAGTTGATTAAAAAAATATACATTGATTTAGGTATCTAAATCGCTTTTGCTGGAACTGACAGAGCAGACCAAACGACCATTGGCAGAAGTGTGTCTAGCACGTCATAGTTTACCCCTTGTTGCCTGAATTCCAGAGGTTCAGATCGGCTCAACATTATTATGTTGTACTTTAATTTGGCTTATGTTATTCCTTCATCGTAGAAGTCGTTCATAAACTCGTGAACGTTTGTTAAGTACGTATTTGATTACAAAAAATGACCTGCCTGCGATATTCGAACACCGGCACAGTCGCACCGCTCGATTCGATTGCACCGGGCGTCTTATCCTTCAGGCCACGTCGACTCACATACATTACGTAGCTATATTTGGAAAGTCTTGATTACATAATATTATGTCGGGTCCTTTGGTTTTTAGTTATTCGACATCTGAGTACGTCACGCCTGTCGAGGAACTAATGTTTGCTGCGTGATATCAGTTAAATACGCAGTATGTTAAACTAAATCAAACAAATAATGTATACCTACTGTTGGTTGATCACATACTTTGCATCAACGTCTGGTCTGATACTATCGCTTCAACATAATCACGTATTTATATTGGCGGAGACATTTAATCACGTGGCGTTAAGAAGTTAGACAGCTACCCTCAGGGTCAAAAACATAATACATAATAATAAGAATAGTTACAGATTTGAAATTTAGATCGAAACATAGGTGATGTGGATAATGTTGTCGGAAGCGAAGCCCGAGGTTAGAGCGCCTGTGCGTTCTGACTTAATAGGGGTTAGAAAATAGAAATGTATACTACATAGATAGGTCCTTGCACAACTAACCTGTAAGGCACACTTCCGGCCAAGAAGATGTAGGTTGTGTGCAACATTCCAACTTGTATGACCGCCACCGCTACCATCACGTACACCCTGAGGTGGAACTGCCCAGCTTGGCCCAGCTGTCCGAGCACGCGGTCCACGTCTACGCCACCAGAGGCCCCGCTCCTCTGGTCTTTCGATGTTACTGTCATTGTCAATACTTTCACGGCCACGTCCTGTGCAAGTAACGGCTAGATAATGAAAATGTTAACAGTCACACGTTAATAGTAACAATCAGTTTTCTTCGATGCTTTCATCCAAAAGCAGTTCAAAATCTAAAAAAGGCGCGAAACCTACAAACCCATCCTTTACTCTAAATCCACATTGTTTGAAACAAAGCAATGGATGGATGCAATAAACGGTTCATGACGACTTGTACGTGCAAACATGCGAACATTATAAACAATGATTTTTTATACAACAGATATGTTATCTTCATAATAACTGACTCTTCAAATCTGATCGCGCCATATATAGATATATATGGCGCGATCAGATCTTCATACCTACCGATATAGTGCACACACATGTTGACAAGTAGCATTAATGAAAAGTACAAAAGATGGGATAAGCGCGTGAGTAAAAAAGCTAGACGATTCCACTTGTTATATTATTATTGTATTTGTTTAGACGCGACTAAAGACGAAACGTCCCAATTGGCCTGTTTTCGAGTCTTCACTTGACGTGCGCTTGAAACATATCTGCTTCTTTTTGCATAATATAAAATATCATTGATTATAGAGAGATATTTCCAACGATTACGTAGCTTCGAAAGATGAAGTAATCCAAATTTCACATGTTATTTTATATTGAAATATTACAAAGGGCATAATTCTCAAAATCAAATGTAGGTTATTTCTATCCGAAAATTCTCCGTCATCCACCGTACTCTACAGATATTACTCTCATTGTATTCCATTTGTTTTGGAGCTTAGACAGGCTAACTGTTTGAAATAATTCAATGAGGTAATCAAAACTTCAAAAAAAATTGTACGCGTGCAACTTGGTGCTTGGTGAAACTTCTTTTGTGATGTGTAGTATTGTGATTTTCTTCAGTTTTCATCCTTACATCAAATTTCTCTTGTAAGAGGAATGTAGTGTATAAGAGAAACAACCTAGCTTTTTTTGTTCTTTCCCTCTCTCCACGGTCGAGTGGTTCGCGAGATGCTCTATTTTCTCACTCTCGCTCTTCAAAAATTGTATCTTTTCTCTCTAGCCGTAACGAATCTGCTGCGAGTTACATTTTACTCTCAACGCGCCTTAAGAAGTTTCACTTCAATAAATTACAACTACGCTCCTAGAATTACTAGGAAAGCATCCTATGAACATATCCTATATGCGGTACATGGTGCGATTTACTAAATATATATATACCTAGTAACTACATTCATACAAAATACCTACATACAGAAATCTAGAAGGTTTATTTTTTACGAAGGAAATATATGTGTACGGTCGCACCGAAGTAAATCACAAGTATTATTTGATGTTTTCACGCCTTATACCTACATAATTAAATAATATAATTAATCCTCTTTTTAAAAGATTTTGAATTTTAAGGGCATTAATCGTCAAACATTAAAGAATAAAACCACTAATAAAACACAGAATGCGAAAGAAAGAATACTCAAGAATATTGAAGATTAAATTGTCATAAGAGATGACGGCTATCATTATCCTTATAATCGCAAACCAGTTTTTATAATCTGGTAAGCGACAAAAATACATTTCTTCGTAATATGTGTGATATATTTACATAAAATATGTTTTGAACATAAACACATATCGTCTTTTCGCATTGAAAGTGTACAATTTCCAAAAATATTCGAAATTAAGTTAATATGCGTAAACATTTGGTATCACCAGTATTTTTCTCATAAATTCTGTTAAAAGAGCGTAGTTTAGTTTTAGTTTTTTTTTTTTTTCGTTTACCTATGTTTTGACAACTATTAACAAAATTAATACATAATTTTATCTTACTTTAGAAGACAGATAGCATGTTACTGTGAAGAAATAAAAAAATTATGTTGCAAAGATGATTAATATTGAAAATATCACATGTTTTAAGCATTATATAAAACACTCTCCTGTAAAATTAGTAAGTTTTGAAATTATACAGTTTTAATGCGAGAAGACGATATACGTCAATCGTGAATATATATAATATTATTATATATATTTTATATATAATAATATTATATATATTTTATATATAATAATATTATATATAAAAATATATATAACCTACTGAGATTTTAGAACTTATATCTCGAGATGGGTGGTGCACTTACGTTGTAGATGTCTATGGGCTCCAGTAACCACTTAACACCAGGTGGGCTGTGAGCTCGTCCATCCATCTAAGCAATAAAAAAAATGCAAAGTGAATCAATTTGTAATAAGTACATACTTAACAAACAAATAATCTAAGAATCGAATAATGTTTGGTACAATCACACGCGCACACACACGCACACACACTCACAACGAAGGTAAATGTTATGAAATAATAAATAGCATAACTCTAAACTTTCAGTGATTACATTTGCTTTTAGTGATTAGTAGATGTAGTCAAATCTACTATAATAATAATAATAGTAGAGCCCTTTATTCGGAAAACAGATATAAAATTAAGTTTCTTATATTACTGCACTTATACTGATATATGTATATATATATGTATTTTAGAAAATTAAAATTGGTGTATTTGGTGCTTGTTTACTCTCTGTAAGTCCGTTTGCCAGTTGGCAAAGGCCTCCTCTAACCTACTCCATTCTGATCTCTCTCTGGCTACTCTNTAAAATTAAGTTTCTTATATTACTGCACTTATACTGATATATGTATATATATATGTATTTTAGAAAATTAAAATTGGTGTATTTGGTGCTTGTTTACTCTCTGTAAGTCCGTTTGCCAGTTGGCAAAGGCCTCCTCTAACCTACTCCATTCTGATCTCTCTCTGGCTACTCTACTCCATGTTATGCCCGCAACCTGCCTGATATCATCGACCCATCTTTTTTGTTGCCTGCCTCTTTTCCTTTTGCCTTCCCTTGGGTACCAATGTGTAGTTATTTTGCTCCATTTTTCTTTTCCTCTGACCATGTGTCCCGCCCACTTCCATTTTAGCCTTTTTATTTTTAGAGTTACGTCTTGTGTCTTAGTATTTTATATTATATACTATATACTATATATTATATATATTATATTATATACTAAAATACTAAATACTAAGTCAAATCTACTAATCCTAGGTTAATGTTTCTGGATCTACTTTATAATGAAAATTCTTAGCTGTGGCATTCGTATTCAATTCATTTATTTATCAGATAACGATATTTCACATACACATTTAAATCAAAAGTAAATTACACTAGATACTTATAAAAAACAAAACAAACTAAACAGAGTATAATAATAAACAAATAGGCATTTTCAACTAAGATTGTAATATTATTCAAAATGTTAAAAAGTTAAATATAAAAATCTTTAAATAAAGTAATTTTTTTAATTTATAGCCATTAAATATTATAATAATGGTATTTTTGAGTCGTGTAATAACGGTGCAAATAATTGCTTTAACAATATGTTCAGGCGCACACAGCTATGTATGTATGTACGTGTATAAAAATGTGTTTAGCACACTTTTATTTGCATATGCGTTACTTTTCAGGCTCTTTGAGCACCGACCGTCATCCTCGTCGAACTCGTCAAATACTAAACTACGCTAAGTTACTAACTAGTAGAGAATCATGAGTTCTTCGTCGGATCTTAGCAGTCGGTCGCAACTCCT